TTGTTTGCTAGAAAAAATCTTTAGAACTTAGAAATTGAGCTGATGTTTTTATCCACATTTTAATAATATAGACATATTTTTGGAATATAATTTGGGGTTTTCTAATCTTGCCCAAGGACACATTGACATGTTGACTGCAGGGATCAAACCACTGAACCTCCGATTGGTAGAGGGCCATTTTTGTATGAGAATTTCCTTTTTTTATTGTTTGCATCTTTAAAAGGAATCATTATATTCCTTGTCCAGCTCCTTACAGGTGCAGGATGTCACATGTGTGGCTTTGTTTACACTCATCATGGTGTCTATCATGGTTATGTAATGTGATCCTGCATCAAAGCACTGAGGAGATCCAGGCTTCAGTGCCAGAGGACGAGCTTACCCAGACATTAAACTGATGATGGCCTCAGTCACCTCCAGACCACACTTACAGACGCTGTTTAGGTAAATAAGTTTTTAATCTTTTTTGTGTGCATACAAACAATTTATTTTATTGGTTTCAAGTATAATCTTTCCCCAGTGTGTTTGCACTGTTTTCAAAACTAATTTTGCAATTAAACTCTCCAGGGTATATCCAGTGGCGAACCGTCAGGGCCTTTGAGGTATTCAGAGAATACCCTGGAACACTCAGATAAAACAAACAAAAAATCGATTTAATTATATAAATAAAATGTATATAAAATGAATAAATGAGAATCTTATCTGTGTTGTTGATCTGTAATATTACAGTGTTACATTGATTTGTTTGTCCTTCTCGGACCATGCACTTCGCATTTCAGTGGTTTTGTGTTAGAAAAGAAGGAAAGAGAGAGGATCTAGATCAGGGGTCACCAACCTTTTTTAGGGTGAGGGCTACTTTAAAAAAATAAAACAAGTCGGGGGCTACTTTTACTCCTCTTTTTTTGTTTTTTGCAGTGTATATATTTAGCACATTTTAACGTTAATATGCTTCCCTTTAATCTTTGTGTGCTGTTTGGGTCTGTGGGACCCGTTTTCAGTGTTTACTAAAAGAACATGTTTGCAATCTAATTATTTTTAACCTGCTTTATTGGGGGTGGATGGGCCTCAGCTCCTCTGGGGGGTCCGGGGCGTGCTCCCCCGGGAAGATGTTTTTTAAATGTTGAAGTGAAATGCTGGGGCACTATGGTGTATCCATAAATGCTGGTGAATTTGTGGATACAGCTTTCAACACTCATATTAAAGGGAGCTGTATACTTTTCAATAATCCAATCATCTTTAGAATNCCGTGAGTCTTACCAAGAAAGTAAACATTTTTAATAAGGGAAAATCACACAGTTTACTTCCTCTGGAATCATCGAAAAATGAAGGCTGAACGTCTGCCATGTGAGAGTGATTTTCAGGGAAGGGGAATCTGATGATACATAGCAGATTACTTTACAAGCGTATTTAAAAGCAGGTGCAGAGAAAATTACCTGAGACCACCGAAGATCCATGAATCCCAGACTATCAGTGCAATTTATTTACTAATGTTTTAAATGTCAGTAAAAATAAGTTCTTAAGGCAGAATGAAATAAATGGTTGGAGTTTGGATCAAGTTCAGTGATCTAATAATAATATGATTTTGCTAGAACAGACTGTTTATGCAAACGATAGCAAAGTTCAGACAAGTTTTATTGTAAATATCCAAAAATGAGTAATTTGGTAAAGATGGATGAGAGCCAATCCGGACAAGCTGAGTTTTATATGTTTTACCATGGCTTGGCAATCATCTGCTATCTTAATAGGCTTTAAGACTATTCTTTGAGTTTTACAACCAGTTCTCTGTCTGTCTAAATTCAGTGGATCAAAGTATGTTACAATCAAAAGTGCTGTTACGATAATAATAATGTTTCTTTTAAATCGTCTTTCTTTTAGGAAAAGATTACACAAATAATTAGAAATTAACTTCAAAACTGAATGCTCTAGACTGTGGGAAGGTATACAGGAAACTTTATTTTAAATTGTTGACCATTGGAACAACTTTCGTGTGTGTATTGTGTGTTGTATGTGTGAGCTCTGTGTGGGTGTACCTGTTTGAGTATATGTGACGCGCCAAGTATTACTCTATGTATCCCTTACTCCTTCTTGAAATTACGGAAAGCACAAATGTCACAGAGTTACATGTATTTTATGTGAAATCCTGCTCTAGCCAGCAACCAGCGTGACTTCGCACCCTACTCTCCAGCACCTCAGGCATCATTGAAGGGCATATTAAACGCAGACTATGCATTTATCAGGATGTGTGTTTGGACAGACATAAAAACAGTGTTTGGTATTGACAATACTTCAAACTGAGTACTAACGAGCCCAAAAGAATAAGTTAAAGAAAAGGAATTGATGAACTTTCATCCAATCAGAACCATGAAGAACTAACACACGAAGACAACTTCCATTTCCATGGGTGTTCTAACAAGGCTTCTGTTAATTGAAACAGACTGATTTCCATAACGTTGGTCATTCGGTCACTCTCCCACACACCGCACCTCCCCTCGACACTCACATTCTCGTCTCAATCAATGAAAGGGATGTAAACAGACCTTTTAGAAAACTCAATAGCAGAAAGCGGCTTGACCCTGAAAATGTCTCCCCTCCACCCTGAAGCCTCTGAGCGAGCGGGTCTCCTGTGTTTACAGACATCCAACACCTCATTGCGGAGACATGCCCCCACGCTTCAACATGCTTCAACAACCGCCACACATCCCGGCCCCCAAGACAACAAGACCGAAAAGAGATTAAATGACTACACGACCCTTGCACTGACCTCCTGTGGTACTGAAGTCCTTTGAGCGCCTTGTTCTCGTCCAGCCCTCAAATCCATACACAGACCCGCCCTGCATTCGGGCCCTCACAGAGCCAACAGGTCCTGTGGAAACGACGGCTGCCAACATGGCCCTCCTTCACTCCTCCAGCCACCTGACACAGCAGGAGCCTAGGGCGCAGGATCTTTCTGTGCGACCCTTCCCACGCATTTTTAGTGGACTGGTTCTTACATAGTGTTATAAAGTATACTTAATTTGAAGTGTTGTGCTTGAGTTGGAGACAGCAAACGTATGGGTCCGCATAACTTCCGTCGTTGCCAGTTAACAGCTGGATTGCGCGCACTAAGATATTGCAATGCGTTGGAGGGTCGACCGAATGCTCCAGTTGCTCATTCCGAAGCAAAACTGGCTTGGCTCTAGAGTCTAGAAAAACAAAAGAAGCCTGATGCGAGCCTTGATTGGGTCCATAGAGGCCAATGGGAACTTGCATTTTTGCTAAGCCGATCCACCCATGCCTCCGCGTTCAGTCATGATGGGAAGGAAAAAAGGACCTTGATTAATCTTTATGCATTTCTTATGACTTTGGCCTAAATAATATTAGGCATTGAATTTCATAGTGGTATTTCACTTCAGCTACAAAGGGCGCACCACAAGAGCAGCGCCGCTATTTTATGAAAGTCGAGGGAAACCTTGTTGTTACATTGTCCGGCGCCCTTCCTGGGGCTTGGGTGAGAAGCCGTCCAGTGCTTCCACAACATTTTGTGTGCAACTAATCCTTCCCAGGTCCACACGCGATTTTGGCCATACATCACATGGGACAGTACCAGTCACAACTGGGACTTTGTAGACACACACACCCACGCCGCCGCCCCCCATCCACGGCAATTATACATGTCGTCTTTCACTGAATTCGGTCGTCTTGGAAAGGTACTCACAACAATTCCGCAACAAGCTCATCTTCACCTGTTGCACTGGTCATTTTCAACGTTAAAAACAAATAAACGGCATGAATTGCTCTCGTCGCATTCATCCTAGATACAGGGCGGTACCACCGCGGTGCCCGCGGGTACTTAGTCGCCCGCAGGGCCGCGAGTCGCGCCGTAGGGCATGTCTAAAAAATAGCTTCGCCAAGCAAGTCCATGTGTTAAAATACACAAAACAAAATAGGAATATGTAATTAAAAGAACTACCCTATGCAGAGGAGAGCGGGAGAGACGCGAGAGCGAGAGAGCGAACTCTATCTACTTAAATAACCTATATCTATCAACACCCTCCTCCCGCCACCCCCACAATAAATACTCGACCAATCCACGTCTTGCTTGATTTGCAGAGGTCAAGAGAGCAGTACGGAGAAAAGAAATGTGAAGCATCAACCTGCTGAATTTTCAAACAGAATCTAACATAAACAACATCAGCAACCAATGTGGCCACAGCCTCACAGTCGTAAGCACATACACATAATGTCTATTCTATGAGGGGCAGAGAGGAGATATCTACTCTGTGGTTTGCAACATTGCATATTTATTTTATTGCACTTGAAGCACACACACAAGCATGGCGTAAGTTTCCACTGGGTCACAGGGGGGGGAACATGCCCCCGCTCTTTTCGAAATTCACAAAAAAAACACACACCCACTTTACAAATATGTGTGTATTATTATTTTTATAACGCAGCCGTCATCGCCCACGGGGAGCACACCAGCCATCTGTGAGCGCGCGCGAGACAAAGGAGAGAGAGAGCGAGCTCGGGAGGAGGAGAGCGAGCGAGAGAGCTGGGAGAGCACACCTTTTCTCATTTAATATAAGAATAATTAAGAAATCATTCCAATGTGTACTATAGAAGTAAAAAACAAAAACCAGTTTAAAAGGCGTGATATCATAAAAGAAAGAAGAAGTAACTAAGGGTACAATAAGAGTACAGAAATAAACCAGCTTTAATGATTTGTTATTGGTTGTGATCCTAATTCTAAAGTGATAGTTATGTGAAAAGAAAAAACAACAGCTCCCTTTAATATGCAGTGTTTTGAATACGCTGTNGCTACCTGCTGGTGTTGTAATGAGGGTGTGTGTGTGTGTGTGTGTGTGTGTGTGTGTGTGTGTGTGTGTGTGTGTGTGTGTGTGTGTGTGTGTGTGTGTGTGGTCACACACACACACACACACACACACACACACACACACACACACACACACACACACACACACACACACACACACACCCTCATTACAACACCAGCAGGTAGCTCCTTCCTGCTCCAGCCTCTTCACCTCCTGCAGACGCAGTAAGGAACATGCACATCATGGAGGTGGTGGTTTTTGCTGTCGTGCTGCTGGTTTTTACAGGTGAGTGCTCCTAAATAGTGTCTTAAATTACAATAACTGTGTTATTTCTTATTATTTATTTTGGAGAAGGAGAAAAATAAGGTCCCAGGAGGATTTTCTTTTGTAATTTTGTCTAGTCAAAATGTCAAGAATAAAGTCAATTGTTCAATGTTAGTGCCAGGTGTAAATAGAGGAAGAAAGAAAATAAGAGGAGAATTACTTTTTTGTACTTTGAGAATAAAGTGAACACGTTAAGAATAAAGTTACCTTTAAAGAATAAAGTGGAAACGTTAGGAATAAAATGTGAATTTAAGTATAAATTGGAAATGTTAAGAATAAACTTGAAATCAAGCGATTAAAATCCAACTTTCAGTATCCGTACTAGATATTAAAAACGATATTTATTTTTGAATTAGTACAGAATAATATAGTGAAAAAGTTTAATGTAAGCAGTAGCTTTTGATATAACATAACAAAATAATTGAAAGGCAGTTGGACATTAAGAAAAAGAGTTGAAATTCTGTTAATAAATGTTGAACTTTGTAGAATTTTTTTTAACTTCTCTTGTTAGCTCATATATTAAAAAGATGAATATTTTTACTGAACATTTTACCAGAAAAAGCAAAAAAAAACTCCTCTATCCTCTTAATTCAGCCTTGCCCTAACGCTTCCGAATGTAAGAGCCAATCTAATAACAAAAAGGCTATGTCACATTGCTCTCATCTGCTATATACAAAGTTCAGTCTGCTTAGTGACAGGGTATGACAGAAACGTCCTTATCAGCAGTCAGAGTTTCACTCAACATGAAAATCCAGACAAGCCTGTTTCCCTCCCCCTGTTTTCACAGTCAACTTGTTTTCAATCACTCTTCTTTGGTTAACAAATTAATCTTCGTCAGTTTGATTCACCTCATGACACCTTTGTTATCTGTACATAATTTTGTTTTTACAACCTGCTGCATGTGTTTCTGTTTCTTAGTAAGCCTTTTGTTACCTTCATGCCGCACATGCCAGCCTCTCCCTGTCATGGTTTTGGATTTGTTGTTTTAATTTTCCACCTTTATTATTTTGAAATGTTTTCCTCCTTGTGTCTTGTCTGGTCCTACTGTGAGGAGGGGTATTGGGATGAGGCTCCTGAGTTTGCCTCCCTGTCGTTAGTTTCCCTCCTGTGTCTGATTGTGCCTCATTGTGTTCACATGTTGCCCTTGTGTTTCTGCCTCCCCTGCCCAGCTGTGTCTTGTGATTACCCTTCTGTGTATTTAGTCTTGTCTTCCCCTGTGCTCCGTGTCTGTTCGTCGTCATTTCATGTCCCTGCTACCTTGTCTCTTCTTGTCCATGTCTCCTGCCTGTTCCCGTCTGTACGTTTGTTCATGTCTGTCGTTCTCCCCGGTTTTGTTTTTGTTAATTACTTTCTTGTTTTTCATGTCTTCGGCTTTTTTATAATAAATCTCGCTTTTTGTTAACAAACTTTTTTGTATATTTTAACTGCACTTGGGTCCTATTTTCCACACTGACACTCCCATCCATGATGCAAAGTCACAAGACACTGATAGACCTGCTGGTTTGGTTTCCTCTAACAATGTGCTTATGAGAAATGCAATTAACACAGTTACTAACAAATGATATCACTATGCAAACTAAACAAGCAAACCCTACAGCTTCCCATGAGTAACCAAACAATGTTGTTGTCCCTCCCACAGGATGCAATGCACAGTCAGATGGTGAGTAATGCTCTTATACCTTTTTTAAATCCTTATTTATTAATTTAATTGAAAGGTTTCATTATTATTATTATTATTATAATCATTATTAGAGGTTTTATTGTTCCCTCATTGCTTGCAGTCTCTTTATCATTTACAAACATTAACTCATTCATTTACATAGTTACCCCCCTTGGTTTGCATATTGTAATAACAAACATATTTCAATCTTTTTATTATTAGTCATTTTTCTTTACTTATTATTTTTTGTGTCTTATGAACAAAAAGAGGTTAAAGGTGCTCAAGACGTGCATTTTTTAAACTTTTGAACCCTGTTTAATGTCCTAATATTAGAAATAATAAAAAACTAAACTACGCTTAATAAAAGGTAAAAACAACACTTATTAAAGATTTTAAAATTACTGCTAAATAAATAACAATGATAATAAATAATGATGACTAAATAATAGTAATAATTATACTTAATTACTAATAATAACATAACAATAATAATCAAGAACCTGGCAAAAATAGATACAGTAACAGATCAGCTAGCAAAGAAAGTATTGAAAGATTGCACAAGTACCACTGAAAAACATTAAAGGTCCCATATTATACTATATTTGAACAATATACTATGGGGCCATATCTATACAAAACATATCTCTGAAGTATTTAGCTCCAAATACATTGTAGCCATGCCTCATACCCCTCTATTTCAGCCCTGTTACAAAAGTGCTGATTCTGGGTCAGTAGCTTCATATATATATATATATATATCTCTCTCAACTTTACTCTAAGTCCCTCTCGTAGACATCCTGTTGAATACAGACACACAGCTGTGGGAGGGGGTTCAGCTAGCCGACTGTATATGGGGAGGATAGGTTGCGCCACATTTTAGTAATGTATTCATGACCGCAGCAAATCTGTATCAGCTCCATTGTACCCCCGTTTTTAGAGATGCGGGTAAGGAGGCAAAGAGAGAGGGTTTTATACATATGTATGTATAAAATAGTGCATTTTGGATAATAGGTGACCTTTAACGCTAATTAAATAAAACAGACAAGTGTTAGAAAAAACTTAATTAAAGCATCAAAATCAAGAATTTACATTGCATTTTGATGAGTGATAAAAAATAGATAAACGATTCTGAACTCACTTTTTCTACTGTACAGATTTTAATTTTTAATTCTGTCTCATCTGATTTGATTTCACATGTATATAGGTTACTAATTCCTGCATTTGACTTTATCCACTTATGTTACATGCAACAATTCATTTCTTTATGTTTTCATGTCTTAAGTATAATATATAGTATTTTTGGAGGAACCTGGGACTTCACTTTCATTACAAACAACAAATCTTTTGAAAGCTAAGATAAGCTAACCACCTGACTCTATACCCTATCCATGTGGGCATCTCAGACTCTAAACAACAGTATTTCACAACATGTCAAACTGGCCCGAGCACACTGAATAATGTTTGTGGTGATATTTATTGAAGAAACTTTTCTCTGAACCCTGATGCACTGTGTCCTTACAGTCTGTGGCATTGCACCGCTCAACACTAAGATTGTTGGGGGGGAGGCTGCTGCTGCAGGCACGTGGCCCTGGCAGGTCAGCCTGCACAGGAACTCCAGACATATATGTGGAGGCTCTCTGATCAACAACCAGTGGGTGCTGACTGCAGCTCACTGCTTCTCCAGGTGACAAACGACTCTGCACCTCACCTGTCCAAACACAGGCTGCTAACACAACAAAAAGAGTTTGTACTGAGGGTTTGGCAGGGAACATTCAAATCAGCATGCTCTTCTTTGTGTAAAATATAATGTGAACATTTTCAAAAAGCTGGGTAAATAGATTGCATGGTTCCAGAGTAACTGCTTCTCCTTAAAACAATGTTAATGATAATGTTGAGGATTGGATTAAATTAACATTGTGGGGGGCATTTTTGGCTCATTCATCACTATTTTCAAAAAGCAAATAGGTGGTGGAAAAAATAACTTGGTCTAAAAATACTCCAAGTAAAAGTCCTGAGTTAGTCATATTTTGCTCATTTTCAGGTTCATATTTGTATTTTGTGCCATGTTCAAAAAGGTCTCATATACTGCTTGTGCTGCAGCACCTCTTTTCACCCTCTGTCTGAAATCAGAGCCCAGTCTGCTCTGATTGGTTAGCTGGCCGGCTCTGATGTGATTAGTCAACCGCTTAGAGATGTCCCGCCACTTAGCACGTACAATGTGTTGGAGCGCTAGCCAATGGAACCCCGAGTAAACAAACGAGTCTAAAAAGTATCAAATCTAAAAGTAGTTATTATGCTGAATGAATCTCTTAAAAGTTTTGTATGGCTCCGAAAACTCAGAAACTTGTAATACTCTGGCAGAGTACAATACTTGAGAAAATGTTCTTAGTTACATTTCTCCATTGGAAACAGTCAATGGTTTAATGGATAAAATAATGAGAAGCATGGGCGGTTCTGGGGGGGGGGGGGGTTGTATTTGTCTTTTTATAATTATTTTGTGTCTTCCTGTTGTCTCTTGTGTCAGTTTTTAATGGTTGTCATCTTTCTTTTTTTAGTTATTCTCTTTGTCATCGCATTTTGTCTCTTTGTAGTCATTTTCTGTATCTTCTTCTGCATTTTAGGCCCCTGTTCATAATGCATAATCCATTTGATCTGACCTGAGTGCTTCCTTTGCATCTGTATTAAACATGTTGTCGCTGTTTCTCAGCTCCAGCACTTTCAGTTACACCGTGTATGTCGGAAGGGACACCCAACAACTCTTCAACCCAAACGAGGTGTCCCAGACCCTGTCACATGTCATCAGACACTCAGGCTATGATTCAACCACAAGCGATAATGACATCGCCTTGTTGAAGCTGTCCGCACCTGTGACCTTCACAGACTACATCAAACCCGTGTGCCTGGCCAAAGACGACAGCACGTACGCTGCCGGGGCGACCTGCTGGGTCACCGGCTGGGGAACCATCCGGAGTGACGGTGAGAATTAATTTTATTAAAACAAATACTATACAAACAGGCTCGGGAGTAACGGATAACATGGTACAGAATTACGTAATCAGGATACATAAACGGTAACTATATTCCCCTACAGTTACATGCAAAAACAAGTAATCAGATGACTGGTAAATGTTTTACGAACTATCTGAATTTTCTTTTTGCATTTCATTTAGGCTTATTTGTTTTGTTTTTTTAAATGAACACATGATTTATTAAACAAAAATACTGTTTGCATTTAATAAATGTGTTAAACTAAAAACATTTGTAAACTTTACTATTCTTTAACCTAGCCTAAAAAAAACAAGAGGATATTGATATTTACTCTCTATTTATTTGCATTGATATTGAGGAAATCCAAAAGTAACGAAAAGTAATTGGGTTACCTTACTTTTAGATTGTGATACTCAGATTACGTTACAGATCATTGTTGTACTACAGGTATCTTGTAAAAGTACCCCTCCAACCCTGTATACAAACCAGAAATACTCATCAAAATGTGAAACCATGTGCCAGGATAGTAATAATATTAATAATTTATTAGCAGCTTTCTGATGATTCAGGAGTTTAATGAACTCCGTAAACTGTTTATAATAAATGTGAAATTGACTTCTTCCTAAATGCACCAACCAGTGATGTCAAAACAGGTGTTTTCCACCAGGGACACTGAAATAGCAGACACTCCCTTTGGTGACATTCACAAAGAACTGAGTCATCCTGCAAAAGCCCTGCTACTTGTATTATCATCCTTCATGAGACGGATGTCTTTGTGTGCGGGTGAATGTCAATGATCTGGCCAAAGTAGAATGATCTACGTACTGCTTGTTTTTGGTTTTGCTAAGGCCCTGAGGGAGTGCATTTATGCCCACAAAGTTATTTGGACCAGCAGTTTTGTAACAAACTGACTTAAACTGGTCTGTCTGGTCAGACTTGTATTAGCATTGTTGCTTAGCCGTAAAAGTGTCGAAGAAGAAGAACTGTGTAAAGTCAGATATTAATCCTTACTTATCAGGGTTAATGCTCATCAATTCATTTTCTAAGTAATCTAGGTCATTGTTAACACCTTAAAAAATCAATAAAAACGTTTTTACTATGAACCAAATTTTCACTATCGTCCGCCATTTTTCTGTGATATGACGTTAACTTGGCAAATCCTTTAATAAAAAAAAATGCTGCTTATCTTCTGGTGGTACTTCTGAATTTTCGCACACTCCCTAGAGGAGAAACCATTTAAATGGACCTATACGGCAATGCTGATTTGAGCTGTCCCAAGGCCATATCAAGATTCTTCAGCCTTTTTTTTAGAATGGTTAAAGGCAAGATGTCCCAACACATACTATGTCATATGCAGTATTCTTAAAATACCAGGATGTGCATATATGGTTACATTTTACAGTAAGGCTGGCAATTCATGAGTCATGACCCACATTCCTTTGCACTTAAATGATCAAGATGGTCAAAGTTCGCAGTGGTATTTCCCAATAGCATGCACACATGAAACAGTACGTGCTTTTAAAAAAAAGGTGGCTGCGATTCTTATTAGAAGTTAAAAAGAGAAAGTATTACATTTGGAAAGTGACTATAGTTTTTGTGTTTTTAAAACTCTAAATCATTTTTTAACTGCTTACTGTAATTTATATCAAACAACCAGGAGAAAATAGTTGTTTTTTTGGGACTTTTTTTTGCAGAGTATAATCAATTTGATGCTCTTTGTGTGAGCAGGACAGAGCAGGGCAGAGAACTACATCGTATGTTTATGGTAATGAAGGACCAGACTTAATACTATTTATTTGTTTTTCTTCAGTTTCACTCCCGTTCCCTCAGCGGCTGCAGGAGGTGAGCGTCCCCATTGTGTCCAACACGCAGTGTAGTGCCTCCTATGATGCCATCACAAGCAACATGATGTGTGCAGGTCTGGATGAGGGAGGAAAGGACTCCTGCCAGGTGAGTCCGCTGAACTGTCTTGTGTTTGGTGTGCTTTGTAAGAGTAAGAGGGATCAAAGCTGAGCAATGGCTCAAGTACAAGTCCCTCAGAGTTGTACTTCAGTATATTTCTTGAAAGTAAATGTACTTAATATCTTAGTCTGCTGCTGTCATAACCCACATGTCTGGCCTCTGCAGGGGGACTCTGGCGGCCCCTTTGTGAGCAAAAGCGGCTCCAGGTGGGTTCAGGCCGGAGTGGTGAGCTTTGGAAAAGGCTGTGCTCTGGCCAACTACCCAGGAGTGTACACCCGAGTGTCTCAGTACGAGTCCTGGATCAACGCTCAGATCAACAGCCCGGACAACAGCACCCAGCCGGGCTTCGTCACCGTCACAGCGGACGGGTCGTCCTCTGGAAGCACTCGTCTGGTTCCTCTCTCTCTGCTGCTGTCCTGCCTACCCGTCCTCTTCTCTCTCTTTGTGCTCTCATAGGACGTCTAGAGGTCATTAATACGCATGTAAAGCGTCATGAATCGCTGCTTCTCATTCTTTAAAACAACCAAAATAATCTGCACATAAAGTGAAATATTTTAATTTCAAGGAATTTCCCTGAACAATTTATGGAAGTCCTCAGAAGCAAGTGAGAATTTCCTTTCTGGTGATCCAAAGTCTGTGTTTTTTTTAAGGCCATCTTGGGAAAAAAGTTTGCTTGGTAAAGAAAATTCCCCCCAAAAATGTTCAACTATATAAATAGATAGTTTTATAGGGTTACTATTTTGTAACCCTAGAAGCTATTTTCAGCGACAATAGGCTGAGATTGAACATTAGCCAATAATATTAGGATTAAAATCATTCATGTATTCTCCCAGGGTAGTTTTAGAGTACATCAAGACATTGCACCTGGAAGAAAACAAGATTCCTTTTAATTAAATTAAAACAATACACACTTAGACAAATTATCCTGACAAAAAAAGTCCCCTGCTTAAATTTCTATTCTCTCCTATTCTTAAATCATAATTACAGGAGAGAAGACATTGTAGATCCTAAAAAATTGAACATCAGATTTGTTTTCCTCACTTGCATCTCAGGGCAACCAATATCAAGATACTTACACTCGTGTTTTTAAAAAAACACAATTTTGCTCATTCTGTTCTCAATTAATCAAAGGTATTTTCTTTACAACGAGAGAGATAAGGCCTATAATATCTAAATATACTTTTGGCATATCCTTTCTTTATTCTTCCCTTATGCTATACAACTTGTATGCAGCAGTTTTGCACAAAACATGCAGTTCAGAAGAATATAAACATCTAAAATGTTATGACTCAAGGATATGTAGCATAACGTTATGTCTGATGTGTCATTAGAGTTTTTGTTGGGGCTGAAAATAACAATTATTTTCTTTAAAGATTTGAATGCAGATCATCTTTCTTGATCTAAATCGATTTTTTTATAAAATGTTTTAAAATTGTGAAGAAAAAACAGATATAACTTTTGCACTGACGGTGAATTGTAGGGTTAACAAACCTCTGTGATGTGGCAGAGGCAATACTAAAGACATGTATTTGTGTGATTATACTAACATTAATCTATTTTAAATTAATTACTGTATCTTATGACACATTTTCTAAAATGTTTTGCACTGAGCAAATGCAACAGGGATTTTATTCAAGCTTTAAATGCATGAAGTACAAATTATGTTTACATATATAAACATTTACAATACATCATTTTAAATTTAGTCGAATGTTTAACTTCATTGAGGTTCCAAATGACACCAATAAATCACAAATGAAACGTGTATGTCTGATTGAATATATTATATAAAATAAAAAATATATTAAAATCTCTAGTAAGATTTTTTTGATTATGAAGTATTCTGATCATTCTCTTGGAAAAGGAAAAGTAGCATGGATAAGGTAGCAATAAAGTCAGGGACGTGCACAGGTACGGGTCCGTTTTCCCTTTTTGGCTGACCTGCCCCTCTGGAGAGAGCGAGGTTTTTTTTTCTTCTTTCTGTTGTGGTCGAATCAACATGATAAGCCCACAATTAGTATTGTATTGTCTCGCTGCGGGAAACACACCAGCTTCATTCTTCTTCTTCTACTACTTCTTCTTCTTACATGTAATTGCCTTCGAAATTTTGAATGAACAACTCGTTTCAGTGTGAACTCATTCCACAGTATGACCACAAAAGTGTTTTAAACCTATTTATGTTCTAAATCGCTAAGTGTGTGATTACACCATGGATGTATAATAAGAACCGGATTACAAGGATTAAGGATTACACGTTACGTGTTTGGGGCAAAACAATGGACTCCAGTGAACACACTATTACGGGCACTATAGAGCACGCACAAAAGCGCGAGCGCACACTCACACACCTGTCCCTCCACAAAGAGAACACAGATGAACTGGTGCATGCAGGAAAATCCGGATTTTGAACTATAGGTGACACTGATGAGGACTTTACATCCTTCCTTCCCAACTATTTAGAAATGTCATGCCTGATACTTTTGCCTGGTGTAGCATAGTTGCTATTTAGTATTTGAGGGTTTTAGATATGTTCTCAAATTTTCAGTCAACATTAATGACTAATAATGCAAACAAGTGAAATTAACTAAATTGCTGAATTGCTTTTAATTCACTGGCAGGAGCGACAAGTGAGGAGGAGCAAAAAGTGAACAACGAGGGAGAGATTGAACAAAGAGAAAGAGTAGAGGACAGAGAGAGTAATGAACAGGAAGAAGACAGAGAGACTAAAGAAGATGGAAGAGAGGTTGCAGGTTATGGAAAGGAGAGAGACATGGAAAATGAATGTTGAAAATGTTTTGTGATCATTTTAGCCTCTTCTGCGTGTCCAGATCATTAATAGTAACAATCAGCTGATTCTTATGCATTACACTTTCAAAAATAATTTATACTGCAGCCCACTGACATGGTTTGAAATCAATATATTATCCAATTTGTGATCCCCCACAGGACTTAAAAAGCACCTAACTAGATCATGAAAATCCCCAAAATCACGGGGGAGTATACCCCCGAACCCCCCTAGCATGTTTGGACCTCGGTATTTAGGAAATCCTGGATACGGCCCTGTCTACAACTGATCCCGACAGTCATTTAGCTTGTTTGGGCATTAAATACTATGAATTAAATACTTTTATTGCTTTATCATTATTAGAAAAAACTAAAAAGATTCTCCTGGAATGTAAGTGTGTTTCTTTAGACTAAAATATGAACCTGAAACTTGCAGCTCAAACATGAATTACAATCATTTGTTTTTCTTCAGTCAGTCTGCACATGGAGACAAAGTGATGTAAAAGCCGCCATTCATTTAATTAAATAAAATGAATTTGGACGGCTGAAGAGAGCGATGAATGAGAAGTTCAGCCGAGGAAGGTGGAGATGAAGACGCTGGTGTCCAGGTTGAGTGTGGCGTGCCACCAGCGGTCGGGGAAATACAGAACCTGACGGAGAAACAACCAAAACAATGAGTCTCAGACAGCAGAGCTGCAAACATATTTAGAATTATATTAACAAGTCATTTTTCCTGCAAAAATGTTTTTAAGTTCAGTTTTTTCAGCCTCTTAAATGGAGATTTGCTGCTTTCTTTTCTTTTTTGACTTAATTTCCTTTTGTATTTCAGGAATAAACACATATTCACTCTTTTGCCCACAGTTTTTTTCCAACTTTTTCTAACTTTGTATTGGCCAGCCAGAAAAAGATGACGATGTTAAACTGTGGGTAAAGATCATTTATTTTACATTTATTTATTGTTTTTGTATGTTTTTCTTCACAGAGAGCATCAGTAGTCCTAACAGAAATGCTGAGTGACGCGTTACAAACTAACGTGTTACTGTAACGCAACTACCTTTTGCGGTAACAAATAACGTTACTAGTTACCTATTCCCATTCAATAACGCCGTGAACGAAAGAAGAATTGAAGAGAAATTCTCGGAAGAGCGAGGAGGTGAACATAATTGACATAATTACCGTGGACACAACGTATGAGCAATAGTCATATTTCGTGTGACGAGGTGTTGGAGTTGTCAGTGTGAGTTTGAGGTGATTATCGGGTTCTGGTTTCTCGGACAGTTTCCTGTGTACCTTTGTTTTATACATCTGGACGTGGTCCACCGTTCCTGACCAGACGGTTATCCATTCGTTCGAACCACACTTCTTAAGTTGACACCGCTCGTAATAATCTTTACCTTCTAGTATGTTCTGGTGACTACTTAGAGGGAGCGTAGACGCCGAGGTGCGTTCTAGAAGTGGGCACCGCGCAGTTTTACGTAGTGTTCTTGCCGACGTCGTTTTTAAGGGTCTTGGTGTGCCCCCGCTGATCAGTTAACTGTGACGCTCTCGACGCGCTGGTTTCATTGTTTCCGATGGTAGTTACATGTGTGATGCGGCGGGTCGCTGAGTTTAGGACGTCGACGGTCTGCGGACAGGGGGACGAATTCGGTGCAGTACAGGTCCGGGGCCCCAGACCTTCAAACGGGGGGATCTCCGTAAATCTACTAGGTCTCTCTAACCTCTTCGAGTATACCAGTCTACTTTGGTTTTATCTTGAAAAACATTTTGATTGATCTGAACAAAAACCCCTCTCTTTCTTACGACTCAACGTAGTTTCTTGTGGATGGATGACGACTTTGTACCGCCAACGCTTTTGTAGTACGAAAACCCACGAAAAAGACGTCTTCCTGTCCTGCTGACTAGGCACATTTACTCTCTTTTTTACTCTATTAGCTTTTAAGCTGCTGTTGGCAGTAACGTAGTCTAAAGATTCTTAAATAACGTTTAATACTAACTTGCACATAAACCCAGTATCAAGTCAGGTGATGACATACATGTTGACAACAACCGTTACGGCCAGTCTTGCAAAAGTGCGGGCCCGTTGCTTCCTTCACGAAGCATTCTTCGTAAAGTTCCAGAACCTCCCGGATCGGCAGAGTCTAGAGTTTGGGTATTTTTAGAAACCTCCCTCAACTTTCAGCACAACGGTCGCTGTCGGGGTCTTTGTAGGTACGAGATCTCCTCTAGACGTACCTCCTTACCCGGTTTTATGGTCGTGTGTCGACACACTTTGGAACACTTCTGAATGTCTTTGCAAACTGGAGACAGTAACGGTTGTTTCCCATGTATTGTTTCATAACTTCTACTTGAAAACAATAACGGTTTATGAATAAAAGGTAGTATTAAACGTTTATTTAGAAATTTTAGTCTGTTACACTAAAAGAACCTAAAAAAAAAAAAAGAGTAAAACAGAGAGTATCAACTCCATATGGCATCTTAACTTTTTAATTTCCGGAGAGAGTAGAAAATTCACCCTCTTGACGTGTAACGCACCGACTGTTTATGAAAAAACGTGGGTGACATTCGCAGTACTTGTGTAGACAGGTAGTCTGCTCCCAACGACACGGAGGACGTAGTAATTTACCTGCAGAGAAATTTTACTGGCGAGTCTCCTCTCCTCAAGAGTAAAGAGGTGGCGGACGACGAAGGGGAGGAGAGAGGAGCGAGCCGAGAGCCGAGCGTAGAGGACACCGCCCTGATTCAGAGCTCCTATCTCAGCTCCTCCCCTCAATCTCTTTACACTTTCCCGGGTTCACAAACACACACACATAAAAGGGGTATTCCGTTCTGGGCGGGTGAAGACAGGAGACTATACCGATGGGACCTACAATGGGGCGCAATGGTGAGTAGTGAGGAGAGACTAGTGAAAGTGAAAGAGGTTCCATGGACACTCTCCTGTACTGACATAAGCGGACATTTAATGGTAGGCGTCCCTCTTAAGCCAAGATCAAGCTAGTGTATTACAGTTGCGTCATTGCGTCGGGGTAAATTTAGTGTTC